CTTGAGTTTGCAGTGTGACATACGTATTCTTCCCAGTCCTGCTGAGGAGAAATGATAACATGTGTGTTAGGCAATGAGGAGAGTGGAGAGGGAGGGCAAAACAGCTTGACAGCTGCTTCTCAAGTAGACCATCAATGACTATCTGCTAGCAAATTTAAAATAAATCAGGGAAGAGTTCTCATTTAAAACTTTCCCTCAGTTTTCCACTGGCTAGCAGGCAGGCTTTTTCATCCAACAAAATAACAAGCATTTCCATGAGCTGTTTATTTGACAGGGTTTTGGAAGAAGGTGAATGATTAGGTCTTGGGAGTGTTAACGGGGCCATTTCACACTGTGGTTATTGGTGGACTGATAGAATGGATTATGTGCCTGTAATTATAATTTTTGTTGCTGGGTGGTCACCATTTCCCATTGTAAATCTTCTTGTCAGGGCACCAAGACATTTCTCTGTGGGTGTTTCTTATTGTTATTTAAAGGTAAGCAAATAATTTCAAAAGCACAAATTAAGAAGGAGATAAAGTTGACTGAAAAAAAAAAAGCCACTGGGAATCTGAGAGTCCTTCTCACATGCAGCCACACTCCTGCGGGATGGGGGGATGAGTGGGCTGCCGCCAGCCCCCACGTTCGGCTCTGGCGTGGAGAGCCGGGAATCAATCACTTTGATGTCTTATCTTATCCCTGAAGATAGATAGCAATGGCTTGTTTGGTGACAGCCATAGCAATGCTTTAACAGACCCTTTTGAAGTACTAGAGCAGCACTTCAGCGGCTGTTGTGAGAGCGGAAAAGCTGACACCAACACTGCTTTGGGAAATGGCCACCAGGGATGCGGGGAGGATGACGGATCTGTGCTGAATGGCGTCTTTCCTTGTCACCCACGGGTGTCATGGCTGTGACTGTCAGTGGGTGGCTTTGTGCATACATCTCCCATCCATGTGTGCCTCTGCTCTGGTGCGTGTATGGCTCTGACAGCTTTTGCTCTAGCGAAGATGCACTTGCTGAGCGTGAAGATGGCAGGAAGGAGTTCAAATATGTTCCTCAGATTCGTGGGACTTAGATATCTCACTGACGTTTTGGGTATCCAAACTGAGTTGCTGACTCCATCCCTGGCAAGTCGTTGTGGACAGCATGAACTGGGTTGCTATCAATGCCCTTAACGAGAGTCGTCTTCTACCCCTCCAACCTCTCCCCACACAGATTATTTCTTGTTCTGTCCAATTTGCTCTTCCTACCATCCACAACACACAACCTTCCCTGTGCTCCCACAGAGCTAAAAGGCAAATGTTTGCTACAAGTTTATGTTATTCAAATTTGCAGCAACCTTTTCTCGAGCCTTGGCAAGCACAATCCTACTGGTGCTGTTCACAGCATTTCCCCATCCCTTGCCCTGGCTGGCACAGCTCTCTGCTTTTGTCTTTCCACTAGTTTGCCTTGCATCAGGCACAGCAATCTGATTGTATTTTCCAGACCTCTGTGACCTGTCACTTGTTGACTCTAATTCACAGCTCTAACCTGCCCCATGTCAGCCTCTGCTTCCCACTCATACAATTTTTGAACAAACACCTTTGTGTTTTCCTTTGGGCACCTAGAAATTACCTGCAAAGTGTCCTCATTGCTGTCCTTTGAACTTGCCTTTGCTGCAGGAGAGCCCTCAGTAGTGATTAAGTCACTGATGGACGAGTATCACAGCCATCATGCTGACAGATGTCACTTCATCATTTCCCAGTAATCTATGGCATCTGTTATTGAATGTTGTATTTTTTTTAGGTTGGAAACTCCTAGGAGGGCTTTTACTTCACCATTTTTACAGTCCCCAGAACAAAGATATCGTGATCCACAGCTTGGACTCTCTCGAGTGCTGTAGGAACTCAGGTAATGAATAAAATTATAGTAATTTAGAGTTGACTGCTTCTACCTAGTTCACTGTTGAGGATAAAAATCAGTTGAGTTTCTTTCAAAACTCTCTGGTTTATGCGTCAGATGAATGAAATCCAAAGACACTTGTTCTTCATCAGCTCAGGTAGTTTGTTTGCAGTGCCACCCTGAAATTTTCCTTTTTTTAAAAAAAAAAAAAAAATCTTTTTTTTTTCTTTTAGAAGAGAGTTGAAGACTTGAGTTTTGAACTGAAAACATTTCTCTGCCCGCATCCCAAAACGCATCTCTGGTGCATCACAGTTTTCCCTCTCCCTGTGTTATCATGAAGAATAAAAGCAGATACTGGAACCAGTATGTTGAGATGCCACCGAGCCCTATTTGCTAGGGCAACTCCTGCCATCCACTTCCAGAAAACTTCTGAATGATGTTTTATTCCTTGCTTTAAATAATCACTCCAAACGGAAAGGATATCGTAATGGAAAGCAGACTCTCTTTGATTAAAAAAAAAAAGAAGCATTTGGTCAAAACCCCAACACTCAGTTGCTGAATGAATTTCACAGAAGGCACATGACCAGCCTGACTCGCAGGTAATATTCAAGCTGCTCTTTGCAGAACTGTTCCAACGGTGATTCCTAGTACTGACACAAACCCTGTGCCCCAGGAGGAGGTCTTCCCAGATATCTGACCCATTTCAATGTCCTCCTTCCTCACACGGGTTTATTTGGTACTCTTTCCATATCACCCACTGTGCTCTCCTCCCAGCGTCTCCTTTAATTCCCATAAGTTTTAGAGGAGAGACCCACAAACCACAGTGGTTCTGGCAGACCTTGGTGGATCACCATGCACGTTTATCCAGCCTGGGCCTCCTTTACAAGCTGGTGATCAGTTTAACAACTGTAAAAGTGGCATGCTGGATTAAAAGTCTGCTTCCAGTACTCCTGCTTGCAGTATGAAGTCTAAAGTGTAAGTATAAGGGCAGTATGTGGGTAGTACCTCCACAAAGCTCTCTGCCTTGAGCCAGCTAAACTTTATCGTTTTCTTCATCAGTTCAGGTCATTTTGAAGTGCCACATTTTCCTGACCTTACATGAGAGAGCTCATTACGTTTTATTCCTAATTTTTTCTTTTTGTCCTGTGGTTTCAGAATGCAAATGGTTTAATATAGAGGAGTCCAATCCTGCTCCAATTTATATAGCCAAATATTAAATATAATGCTCTGAGACAAAGTCACGCAGATCCTAATTTTCGTCTGGCAATAGTATCTGCTAGCATATCATTGCTGAAAATGGTTGTTCTCAGTTATTTTACATTGCAGAGAAAAAGTGACTCAGTGGCAGGATCCCTTCAGATGCCTGGACAAAACTGATTTTATTTTTTTCTAAATTACTGTTTAGAAATCCAAAGACGTTCTCTGCTATTTGCTGGCATGCGAAAAGGCACACTAAATGGCACTTGGGGGTTAATTTTCATGACCCTGACTCTACCTCTCAACAAGATAGATTACATTTTCAATCCTATTCCTTGGCGTATAAGAGAGAATCATTTTGTAGAAAATGAGAATTGATCCAAATCTTCACCCTAAAGTCAAACTGCAGCTTTATTGACCAGAAAGGGAAAGAAAAAAAAGGATGCATTTCTTTAGAATACAGTGTTCCCCTTTATATCCCCCATGCCAAAAGAGAATGCAACAGGAGCAAAGCCACCACATCAACTGGGAAACCAATGTCTAGAGAAGGGCAGGTCATTGCTGGGAGACCCAGCTTGCTCCTACGGGTTCATTTGCAGCTTGTGTGCAACCTTCACGCCTTTTCTTCTCTTCCCACCCTTTGGCTCACTGCCTCCCTGCCCTTTGTGCCTCTTCAACCCTGACACTGCAGCCATTGGGGACCATATATAGCCGGATGCAGATAAAAGGCCAAGGGGATTTTCCGAGGTGTGAAGAGGAGCCAGGCGCCTCCCTCTTGCTGAAAACCCCTGGGAGCCGGTGTCCACGCTGCCCTTGGCTGTCATGGGGCAAAGGGAAGCACTGGGGTTTGGGTGATGGACACCCTGCAAGACAGTTTTCCAGAGGCATCGGCAATTGGTGTACCCTTCTGGGACTGGGGTGAGGACACCCCACCTACAAGGCAAGCAGGGTTTGAGACTTCATCCTGCTGTCCTGGCCAGGCAGAGGCACGGATTTTACTTCTGGCCATGCCCTGGACTGGTTGTCACTTTGGGAAAGTTCATTTCATTGCTCTGCTTCTGCATCTTCTGAGTCACCTTTGTCTTTGCTCTGCATATCTGCGCTGCCAGCCCTTCTGGGACAGGCTGGGAATCAGCCCTACTGGAGCACCCCGGCCAGGTGTCTCAGTTTGAGTGTAAAGTCTGATGCCATTTTATCTTCCCCTTCCCTTGAGAGATTCAACATAAATAAAAAACAACAAAAATATTCCTAACCTTTACCCCGGGAGAAAAAAGTTTGAAAACGTGAGGTGTGAAGCAAGCACAAACTCCTCCCTTTCATAAGACATATAAGAAAATCCCCAAGTTTTACTTATTGTAGGGCTGAAGACTTTTACAGCCCAATCACCTCATGGCTCCAAACATTTGGGCTGGCACTACCAACACTGTCAGGCATGCCAAAGATTCGCTCTCAGCACCTTGCGTGCTGGTGTGCAGCCAGGCTGGAGAACGCTGGTTTATCATCCTGCTTCAAAGGAAAGGAAAAGAAAATCCCCAACCGATCCCCAACGCAGCAACAAAGCCTTTCTGCAGGAGGCAGAGGGCAGTGTTTGCACACACATAGTTATTACGAACACAGGAGGGTCAAGTTCATCCCTGATGTTCTCCCCACTGTCCCCTTTGGGGTGATGGTGATGGCCCACTGGATTTCGGTGAGATGAGAGGCAGATCTATGCCTGGATGCGTTTAGGTTCAGATGTGTTTGGAGAACACTCCTGGGAGTGGTTGCGGTGCTCAACTCTTCTTAAAAACTGCCACGGGTCCCCATGTGAGTCCGTTGAGACAGGGGGAGCACAGGTCCTCCCTGGGGGGACACCTCTGGCAGAGAGCCTCAATATTTTTTTCCTCAACTGGGAGAATTGCTCTGCACCAAGCAAGGTCAGAAGCCAGTTCAGAAATTTACTGTCAGGATGGCCGAGTGGTCTAAGGCGCCAGACTCAAGGCTCTGCCTTCCCACAGTTGGGAATTCTGGTCTCCATGTGGAGGCGTGGGTTCAAATCCCACTCCTGACAGGTACCTTTTTCTCTGGAAGTGTTCAAGGCCAGGTTGGATGAGGCTTTGAGCAACCTGGTCTAGTGGAGGGGTGTCCCTGCCCATAGCAGGGGGGTTGGAACTAGATGATTTTTGAGGTCCCTTCCAACCCAAACTGTTCTATGATTCTGTGATTTTGTGATAAATGTTATAGGCTTCACAGGAAGCAACTGCTCACAGATTCATCTCTTATCTCTTTGGTCCTATCCCTGGGGTACCCATGGGTCTGGAGAGAGAGAGAAGATACCCACTACCCTATCTTGCTTGTTGCACAATAGTACGGCTCTCTTATAATTAGCTATATGGGGGGCAGCTGGCTTTACACCCCTCCCTGATAGGCAGGAGAAGGGCAACGTGCCCATGTGCACCTCCTCCCTGTGTACATGCCTAGGAGGCTAATTTGATCTCCTCCCTGCCTCCCCCCAAACCATCTCAAAACAAAGCTACAGCGCTGCGACGCACCGCGCCGATTAGCGAGGGGAGACACAGGAAAGTCTCGCTTCTGGGAAACGACACCGGTTAATGGCACGACACAGGGAGCTCGCAGTCTTGGAGCCGACTCTTTGGCAGGAGTCTGTAGGGCTGGAATCACTACCCTCCTCTGCTTACCGGTCC